AATCACTCACCGTAATAATATGGTAGAACACACTTCGGTGACCGCCCATGTGTCATAGATTTAGAGGCCCGCTCTCAGGAGCCCCCCCCCCCCCGGGCGCGGCGTACGACCCCTGGCTCCTTAAATTAGCATCCTGTTAACAATGATGCAGATTGCGTCATTCACTAAAGTGACACAAATGAACAGGATTTGTTAATTAACACGTAAAAAATTTATTTGACGCGTTTTAAACATCAGTGTGACTGATGCAATATATTAGCGTTACTAATGGTCTTTTCTTAGATGCTCGATCTCAATTTCTGTTTGGATTATCTAAAAATAGATGCTAATTGCATCATCCGCAAAGTGACGAAACTGTTTGGACTTTTTTTACGGACAAAAAGAAACATCCCGGTTAATAATCTAACCTTGGTTAATGTTTCTGTTTACTAAAATAAAACGTATTACATGGCCCTTAGCGGCCCATGTGAGCCTTTGGGGGCCGAAACAGACATTTTTATTTACAGCCTAATCGCACCCTACCAGTGCGCCAGAGGACACGCCTGATTCAATTTGGTAATCGTTTGTAACGCCCCATAGCGAAACTAAAGTTTTTTTTTACTGAACCCTTGCCTAGAGTTGTTTTATAATGAACTCCCAAGAGTTTCATGCCTATCGGATGAACGGTGTCACTGCAATTCACTTTTATTATTTTTATATACCGCATATAGAGGAAAATCGCACCCTCCCGTGGCGCCGCCCTTATGAAATTAAACATGATTTTTTTTACAGAACCCTCCCCTAGAGTGTTCTAATCAACTCCCTAAAGTCTCATGGCTATCTGGTGAACGCTGTCAAACCAAAATCGACTTTTATTTTTATATATCGTATATAGAGAAAAAACAAATCGCGCCCTACCGGGGCGCCACCCCTGCGAATTCGAAATATTTTTTTTCGCAGAAACTTCCCCAGGAATATTCTCAACAACTTCCCAAAGTTTCACGGCGATATGATGAGAGGTGTAGTAATGCATAAAGGGCACACACACACACACACACACACACACACAAACATACATTGCTTTTTATATATATAGACTAGAAACTTGACTAAAGCAGTATTTTTCATTTTTTTTCTTTGCATTCGGGGATTATTTCCCCTGAATCATTAATTTTTTTTTCTCTTTCAATTTGAACAGTGGTAATGTGACATAAGGTGGAGTTTTTTATTCGAGCATTATGTCCCCTGATTTATTCGTTTTTTTTTGTGAATCAATAAAAGTATTAAAAGCAGGACAACTGAGGTTTATTTGCTAACTGCTATCACATTTTGTGGACGTGCAGTTACCCACATTCATTTGCTGGAAAGTTATGTAATTAGGTTAATAGGTAGATAAATATTTGAAATTTAATACAAATCATTAGCATTTGGATTAGTGGCGTAGCGAGGCGGCACCTAATGGCGTCACCTGCCCCCCCCCTGTAAGAAAAAAAATCGAAATATATATATATATATATATATATATATATATATATATATATATATATATATATATATATATATATATATATATATATATATCATATATACTTGTAAGTATGTGTATACACCTTGTTGGGCCTGTATGTTTTTTTTTTTAAATTCTTCTGGATGTATTTAATTTTTTTACCCCCGCCCATACATGGATTAACATATAGGTTATTACGATTTCCAACCAAACCGTTTCCCTCAGGCATATATATTGCAACGTTGAGTTGATGGAAAGCTGATGTAACTCCCCCCCCCCCCCCCCGTCACACCCACGATGATTGCTTTAAACTGTCCTCAGATAATACTAACGATTTGTATATAAATTCGGTTATAAATTCAGCTGGATGTTGCATGTTTTCTTTATCATTAGCAGGTTTACGTCATGGTGTCATCCCCCCCCCCTTCCTCCACCCGTGTCGGGATTTGTCCACTTTGCTTTTAAAAGACTATTTAATTCACTCTAATAAATCATTTAATTAAGTGAAAATTTTTCTCTATATATTTTGCTATTTTTTGCCTTGGTGTCACCCACCCCCCCTAAATGGTGTCACCTGGTGCGGTCCGCACCTCCCGACCACACCCCTTCCCCCCCCCCCCCCCACCCGCTTCGCCTCTGATTTGGAGGCAGCTTTAACGAACATTACGTAAAAAAAAATCAACGAACTATCGTGCAGTTTTTTTGGTTTGTTTTGTTAGATCAAATCACGTTCTCCATATTTTAAAAACTGTTTAACTCTTTCATTAGAATTTTTTGTAGGCACAGTCAGATCGAGTTACACTGCTTGTTCAAACATTGGTCGATTGAATCAAGCCACCATTGTTTGAATCAAGCGACCATTGAATCAAGCGACCATTGATTGAATCAATCGACCATCGATTGAATCAATCGACCATCAATTGAATCAAGCGACTATTGTTTGATTGATTTAAGCGACCATTGTTTGAATCAAGCGACTATTGTTTGAATCAAGCGACCATTGATTGAATCAAGCGACCATTGAATCAAGCGACCATTGTTTGAATCAAGCGACCATTGATTGAATCAATCGACCATCGATTGAATGAAGCGACCATTGTTTGAATCAAGCGACCATTGATTGAATCAAGCAACCATTGATTGAATCAAAATCTATTGTTTGAATCAAGCGACCATTGAATCAATCGACCATTAATTGAATCAAGCGACCATTGATTGAATCAAGCGACCATTGATTGAATCAAGCGACCATTTGTTGAATCAATCGACCATCGATTGAATGAAGCGACCTTTGATTGAATGAAGCGACCATTGATTGAATCAAAATCTATTGTTTGAACCAAGCGACCATTGATTGAATCAAGCGACCATTGATTGAATCAATCGACCATCGATTGAATAAAGCGACTATTGTTTGAATCAAGCGACCATTGATTGAATCAAGCGACCATTGATTGAATCAATCGACCATCGATTAAATGAAGCGACTATTGTTTGAATCAAGCGACCTTCGCATGAATGAAGTGATCATCGATTGAATCAAGCGACCATTGTTTGAATCAAGCGACCATTGATTGAATCAAGCGACCATTGATTGAATAAAGCGACCATTGCTTGAATCAAGCGACCATTGATTGAATCAAGCGACCATTGTTTGAATCAATCGACCATTGATTGAATCAAGCGACCATTGTTTGAATCAATCGACCATTGATTGAATCAAGCGACCATTGTTTGAATCAATCGACCATTAATTGAATCAAGCGACCATTGTTTGAATCAAACGACCATTAAATCAAGCGACCTTCCCATGAATGAAGCGACCATTGATTGAATCAAGCGACCATTGATTGAATCAATGGACCATCGATTAAATGAAGCGACCTTTGATTGAATCAAGCGACCATTGATTGAATCAAAATCTATTGTTTGAACCAAGCGACCATTGATTGAATCAAGCGACCATTGATTGAATCAATCGACCATCGATTGAATGAAGCGACTATTGTTTGAATCAAGCGACCATTGATTGAATCAAGCGACCATTGATTGAATCAATCGACCATCGATTGAATGAAGCGACTATTGTTTGAATCAAGCGACCTTCGCATGAATGAAGTGACCATCGATTGAATCAAGCGACCATTGTTTGAATCAAGCGACCATTGATTGAATCAAGCGACCATTGATTGAATAAAGCGACCATTGCTTGAATCAAGCGACCATTGATTGAATCAAGCGACCATTGTTTGAATCAATCGACCATTGATTGAATCAAGCGACCATTGTTTGAATCAATCGACCATTGATTGAATCAAGCGACCATTGTTTGAATCAATCGACCATTAATTGAATCAAGCGACCATTGTTTGAATCAAACGACCATTAAATCAAGCGACCTTCCCATGAATGAAGCGACCATTGATTGAATCAAGCGACCATTGATTGAATCAATGGACCATCGATTAAATGAAGCGACCTTTGATTGAATCAAGCGACCATTGATTGAATCAAAATCTATTGTTTGAACCAAGCGACCATTGATTGAATCAAGCGACCATTGATTGAATCAATCGACCATCGATTGAATGAAGCGACTATTGTTTGAATCAAGCGACCATTGATTGAATCAAGCGACCATTGATTGAATCAATCGACCATCGATTGAATGAAGCGACTATTGTTTGAATCAAGCGACCTTCGCATGAATGAAGTGACCATCGATTGAATCAAGCGACCATTGTTTGAATCAAGCGACCATTGATTGAATCAAGCGACCATTGATTGAATAAAGCGACCATTGCTTGAATCAAGCGACCATTGATTGAATCAAGCGACCATTGTTTGAATCAATCGACCATTGATTGAATCAAGCGACCATTGTTTTAATCAATCGACCATTGATTGAATCAAGCGACCATTGTTTGAATCAATCGACCATTAATTGAATCAAGCGACCATTGTTTGAATCAAACGACCATTAAATCAAGCGACCTTCCCATGAATGAAGCGACCATTGATTGAATCAAGCGACCATTGATTGAATCAATGGACCATCGATTGAATGAAGCGACCATTGATTGAATCAAGCGACCATCGATTGAATGAAGCGACTATTGTTAGATTGAATGAAGCGACTATTCTTTGATTGAATCAATCGACCATTGTTCGCGGAAAGTAAAGGTGCTGAGCATTGTGCTGACCACACCATCCATTCTTATGCGTAGGTTAAGAAACATAAGCTCCACTTCATTTCGAAATTTCATACAGGACACAATATTTTAACTTTATGGATGTGTTTTATATAAATAAATAAATAATAAATATATCATAATAAATATATAATTTATGTCGGTCGCTTGAGCTCTTAAAACAAATTTTTTTTTACCTTCGCAAGACCCCTCTTCCCTTTTCAACGTATAATAGTTGTCATACATAATGACTTTCAATTACTAAAAAAAATTGTATATCAAAGTAAAAAAAAATCAACAAAATGAAGTCAATTGTACGGCAGCATAATTAGTTTATAATTAGTTTATAGTCCTACACAAGCAAATGAATTTAAAAAAAAACACACAAGGGAGACAATATTTTCACAGTTGATATTTGTTTCAGAGTTATCAAGCTTGACATTAAGTTATCTGATCACTAGGCCTACACGATAACTCATCATTATGCAAAATGCCAGCTAAATATTCGCAGCAATAATGTCACTATGTCTGTTGTTCCTCTCTTTACGATTGTGTTCATGGAATACCTTTGATAGAAAAAAAACAGTACCTTAGGTATTTAGTGGTTTAACTTATATAATTATAGTTTATATAAAAGTATTTGAACATGTACAAAATAAAATCTACACAAATTACAAAACATTACCACTGTCCTAGATCGCCAGGCATTTCGAAGGTTTGTTAAATAATTGTTGTCGAAGATCACACCTTCGCCATTGAAGAGTCGACCATCTCGACCACAACCAAGTACCTAAAAGATCAAGATCACAAAATTAATCCGGGCCCACAACCAAGTACTTAAAATATCAAGATCACAAAATTAACCATGGGGTGGGGGGGGGGGGGAAGAGGGCTTTTCAACGCACGCAGTACCGCGTATGTGAGTTACACATTTTAAATTCGAGAACACAGATATTTTTGCGTAGACTATACTGTCAGCTGCAGATCAAAAATAACAAAACTGAAGCGAGAAAGGATAGACCAGATTCTGTGTAAACTAGCAGAACTCGAATCCTTCAAACTAGAGAAATGTTGGTAGGCCAAAGCTACAGGAGCCGCCCCAAGTCATGTCTGATGGAGAAGTGTTGTAGCTGCCGGATTTGAACTCGGGGTAGCAGCCAAGCTCTCTACCGCTAGGCCACGCCGTCCCCACTTGATGTATGTTGGAGACTTTTTAAACTGCTCTAATCAGATTAACCAATATGGAAGCAGCTTAAGCTTTAACACTGCAGCTAAAAACAAAAACTTACAGGTATTGCTGTGGCACATAGCCATGCAGCAAGTAAAAAAAAACTTACAGGTATTGCTGTGGCACATAGTCCTGCAGCTATAAACAAAAACTTACAGGTATTGCTGTGGCACATAGTCCTGCAGCAATAAACAAAAACTTACAGGTATTGCTGTGGCACATAGCCATGCAGCCAGTAAAACAAAAACTTACAGGTATTGCTGTGGCACATAGCCCTGCAGCTATAAACAAAAACTTACAGGTATTGCTGTGGCACATAGTCCTGCAGCTATAAACAAAAACTTACAGGTATTGCTGTGGCACATAGCCCTGCAGCCAGTAAAACAAAAACTTACAGGTATTGCTGTGGCACATAGCCCTGCAGCTAGTAAAATAAAAACTTACAGGTATTTCTGTGGCACATAGCCCTGCAGCTATAAACAAAAACTTACAGGTATTGCTGTGGCACATAGTCCTGCAGCCAGTAATACAAAACTTGCGCCATGACAGACCCACAGGCTTACAGGTCGGTACGGCAGGTAGACGTCCATCAGGACCCAGTAGCCTGCAAACACACGCAGGCTTTGTTTTAATGTTGGCTGGTAGATTTGAGATCAATGATGGAAGATAGATTTTAGATCAATGTTGGCAGGTAGATTTTAGATCTAAGTTGGAAGATAGATTTTAGATCAATGTTGGTAGGTAGATTTTAGATCAATGTTGGCTGGTAGATTTGAGATCAATGATGGAAGGTAGATTTTAGATCAAAGTGGTATGTAGATTTTAGATCAAAGTTGGAAGGTAGATTTTAGATCAAAGTTGGTAGGTAGATTTTAGATCAATGTTGGAAGGTAGATTTTAGATCAAAGTGGTATGTAGATTTTAGATCAATGTTGGAAGGTAGATTTTAGAACAAAGTGGTATGTAGATTTTAGATCAAAGTGGTATGTAGATTTTAGATCAAAGTTGGTAGGTAGATTTTAGATCAATGTTGGAAGGTAGATTTTAGATCAAAGTGGTATGTAGATTTTAGATCAAAGTTGGTATGTAGATTTTAGATCAATGTTGGAAGGTAGATTTTAGATCAAAGTGGTATGTAGATTATAGATCAAAGTGGTATGTAGATTTTAGATCAAAGTTGGAAGGTAGATTTTAGATCAAAGTTGGTAGGTAGATTTTAGATCAAAGTGGTATGTAGATTTTAGATCAAAGTGGTATGTAGATTTTAGATCAAAGTTGGTAGGTAGATTTTAGATCAATGTTGGAAGGTAGATTTTAGATCAAAGTGGTATGTAGATTTTAGATCAAAGTTGGTATGTAGATTTTAGATCAATGTTGGAAGGTAGATTTTAGATCAAAGTGGTATGTAGATTATAGATCAAAGTGGTATGTAGATTTTAGATCAAAGTTGGAAGGTAGATTTTAGATCAAAGTTGGTAGGTAGATTTTAGATCAAAGTTGGTAGGTAGATTTTAGATCAATGTTGGAAGGTAGATTTTAGATCAAAGTGGTATGTAGATTTTAGATCAAAGTTGGTAGGTAGATTTTAGATCAAAGTTGGTATGTAGATTTTAGATCAATGTTGGAAGGTAGATTTTAGATCAAAGTGGTATGTAGATTTTAGATCAAAGTTGGAAGGTAGATTTTAGATCAAAGTTGGTAGGTAGATTTTAGATCAAAGTTGGTAGGTAGATTTTAGATCAATGTTGGAAGGTAGATTTTAGATCAAAGTGGTATGTAGATTATAGATCAAAGTGGTATGTAGATTATAGATCAAAGTGGTATGTAGATTTTAGATCAAAGTTGGAAGGTAGATTTGAGATCAATGTTGGTAGGTAGATTATAGATCAAAGTTGGTAGGTAGATTTTAGATCAATGTTGGAAGGTAGATTTTAGATCAATGTTGGAAGGTAGATTTTAGATCAACGTCGGTAGGTAAATTTGAGATCAATGTTGGAAGGTAGATTTTAGATCAAAGTTAATAGGTAGATTTTTAGATCAAAGTTGGTATGTAGTTTTTAGATCAGTGGTTGCAGGTAGGTTTTATATAAGTATTGGCAGTTTTATTCTTAGATAGGCTTTACAGATTGTATATAGTTATTAGCAGTTATGTTTTTTTTGTGTGTGCATGAAACGATCACGGCAACATGTTTATCTAAGCTATCTAACTCGCACAATACTTAAAGACACCTGATAGTTACTTTACTTATGTTGTCTATACAATCATCTAAAGCAGAGGCGGAGCGACCCTTCCCGGTGCCCGGGGACAAACTTTTCGATTTACACCCCCCCTCAAGATTTCGAGTTGTACCCCCCCTCAAACTTTTGATTTGCACCCCCATCAAGATTTCGATTTGCACCCCCCCCCCCTCAAGATCTAAGATCTCAAGATTTCGATTTGCACCCCCCTCAATCTTTCAATTTATTTTTCCAACCTATTTTGGCGCCCCCTAAGGTCGGCGCCCGGGGACATATGCCCCCCCCTCCGCCCCCCCCCCTCGCTACGCTACTGATCTAAAGCTTACTCTACCTATGTTCTACAGTTACCTGGAACCTAGAATACATATGTTAATCTAAAACTAAGTTTACCAAACTCCAATAACACTGAAGCCACCTTCATAGCTTACCTCTCCAATGCAGAATTCCAACCACCGTGTGGAGTACGGTAATGACGTCATCAAACACCAGATGAGCCAACCAGTGTTTTCCCTCAAACCACACGGAAACGCGCTGAGATGTTGACTAAAAAATAATAAATAAATATCCACTTTACAGGAAAAAAGCGAAACAAAATTAACTGGAAATAAATACGTTTTGAAGGCACGCAGACTGAAGACACACACATATAATCAGAAAAGAAGAAAACCAATTGTCAATAAACACGAAATAAAATAAAAAGTCTATATTGAGACATATTTATTGTCACGTTGGCCATATACAACAAATTACTAAATTCAATATACAAAAAAAAAAAAAAAAAAAAAAATTAAAGAAAACGAACAGCAGACATGACTTCAATTAATTAAAGTTAGTTTTTATCCCGAAAATAATCGTTTATAAATGATAGATTGCTTTTGGGAGATTAAACCTTATTCTTCTTCTTCGTTCTTAATTTTTAGTGTTGGAAGGATTGAGCCTTATCTGCCAGAGGCTTTTCTTTTTGGATTTGCTTCCATAGCCTTTGTCCAACCAAGAACAAACTACAAGGCAGCAGTTGTTTGATGAGTTGTCTCTCTTAGCTAACGAGCCTCATCTCCCCGAGGGTTCGAACTCGAGATTTTTCGGTTTAGCAACCATGAGCTTTACCGACTCGACCAAGC